AAAATAACTACACAGACAAATCAGAACGTCTAATATTGTCAACATGGTGCATAAAACATTCATCCTTTGGGCAGATGAACATGATTGATGCATGATCTATGCACACAGAAATATCACAGTGAATCACATTCATTTTGTACAATTAATATATTTAATAATTATAATGAAAAACATTCACAGACTGGAGTTGTGGCTCAAGCAATGCAAAGCCTGTCTAGCAAGTGCAAAGCTTGCTGAATTCAAACCCCAGTACTACCAAAAAATAATTAGTATCTTTAGTATGAAGACTGAAAAACAAAACAATAGTCACTACATTCGTATGTTAATAGAGATACACAGTGTAGAAAGATGTAAAACGGGACATCAAAAATTCGAAATATAGCTGGGTATGGTGACGTACAATGTGATCCTAGCACTCCAGGGGCTGAGGCAAGAGGACTGTAAGTTTGAGGACAGTGTGGGCTATATTGCAAAGACCCTACCTCAAAAAATAAACAAAAAATCAAAATATGGGGAGGAATAAAGTGCAGAGTTTTTATTAGTATTTTTCACACTTTTTGTTTCTTATCTTTACAATCAGTGTTAAATTTCTGCCATTTCAAAACAGTTTGTTACAATCCAAATATTTTTGTAAGCTTCGTGGTAACCACAAAGCAGAGAAATCTGCATTACGGTATGTTTCTTACCTCTGCCATCCTTCACTTACTTAGGTATGATAATCACACCTAATCTCAGAGTTGTCTGAACTAAAATGATATAAAGTACATTGAATATTGTCAGTCTCACCAATACCAATTGTGTACTAATCTTAGCTCCACCCTCTCTGCCCATGGTATTGAGCCCCTTGGCAAAGGTTCTGCTTGGACAGGCTGTGAATATCAGTTCATGTCCTACAGCTTCCTTCCCAAAAACATCACCACAAAGTGATTCAGAACTGGAAAGGAATTCTCATCCTGCAGGCTTACATGGTTCAAGTGAGGTACAGCAATGCCTACAAAATCTTAAGTACCATGGAGGTGGTCCCGGCTCCAAAGGACTTCAACACTCATATTACCTGCAACATGAACCACACAAGCTTGCCACCCTTCTTCATGAGAATGCTGAGTTGGCTGAGACTGTGATAGCTAGGTGACAGGACATGTGGCCAGGCTTTCACCTGGCTCTGAAACACAGTTTTCCTCATATCTGTTGTAGGGATAAACCCTAATATCAGGGTCTTCCAGCTATAGCACCACCTATGTGCTAGGCAGATGCTAAGTGAATGGCCACCGAGTAATTAGCAAGATGGATTCGGTTATTTCATGAAGTCTGAGCCTCTATCCAATGCTGTTTCAGCTCAGCCAACTGAGTCTATTTTTCAACAGCCCATCTCAAATGTCACCTGCAAGGCTGAAGAATGGAAATGTCCTCAGACAGATGAGACTAATCCCCACCAAAGGCAGAGATGGACTGTACCATGTGCAGAGTTCCATATTGGTGGAGGAAACTGATGGCACAGAGGACACTATCCTCACCTGCCAGGGGAACAAGATGGGTAAGAGGAGGTCACTGCAGAAACATTTTTGGTCTCTGCTCACCTGAACAAGTAAAATGAGTCCATGGCACAGCCTCCATAATATATTCAAAAAGGCTTCATTAAAACTTTCTTTTCAAGAATATGAAATATTAAATTATAAAAGCAAAACCTCTCTCTGTCTCACACACACACACACACACACACAAGCAAGCATGCACATGCTCACAGTACAAAATTGTATAATTATTAGAAATTATACAATTGTACATACAATCCAACCCTGCAAAGAGATCTCTTATATCCCATACATTCTTTTGTCTCACCTACCCATAAAGCAGATTACAGGTACCGAATGGTGGAAGGACTAGGTAATGTTTGAGACTCTTGCAAAGCCAGTGAGTCCAGACCTGACCAAGTGGGGTCAAGGATGAGGTGGCTATGCAGCTACTACTGTGCTTCAGTTCGTGAATGTCAGGATCCCAGACCTTGGAGAGGTGGGGAAGCCCCAAGAATTGGGGGAAAGGAAGAGAGGACAGCTGTGGGATCAGAGAAGGTAGAGCTCCTGTGGCTCCAGTGCTTCTGTGATCATCAGACTGAAGGCCAGCACCTGGGCTCCCTGCACACATGGTTACCATGACTCCAGTGGCCATTCCCTTCTGAGCTCAAAATCACCTGCTGAGCCTCCTCAGTAAAAGGATAGACTCACCCCTTTTCCCACTGTAAACAAGACCAATATCAAACATAAATATGATTGACTGTATTAATAAGCTGTTTCATCACTGTGACCAAAATACGTGAATGAACAATTTAAAAGAAGGAAAGATTTATTTTAGCTCATGGTTTCATGAGGTTCAGTCTATGATTGCTTGTTCCATGCACTTGGGCAGAACATGGTGGCAGGAGCATGTGACAGAAGAGGTTCCTTACCTAATGGCAGACAGGAAGCAGAGAGAGAGGAGGGGACCAGGGACCAGGTATAACCTTGGCAGTGACCTACTTCCTCCAGCTCAGCCCACCTCCTAAAGTTCTATAACCTCCCAAAATAGCTCCACCAGCTGGAGACCAAGCATTCAACTCATGAGCCTGTGGAGGACATTTTATAATCAAACCATAACAGTGACTTTGGATTCTGATGAGGTAATGAGGATGCTACTGTGGTTTGTGTCTTAAAGGTACCCAAAGGACCACACTAAAGGCTTGGTCACTAGACTGTGGCACTTTAGGAGGTGGGGCCTGGTGGAAGAAAGTTAGGTCATTGGGGGTGTGCGCCTGAAGGAGATATTGGAATCCTAGCCCTTCCTCTCTCTTTCTCAGCTTCCCAGTCACTGTAAGGTGAACCGACCTCCGCCACCCTGCATTCCCACTATAATGTGCTGTGCTGCCATAAGCCAAAAGCAATGGAGCTGACCAAACATGGATGCAACCTCTGAAAGTATGAGCCAAAATAAACCCTTCCTCCTTTAAGTTGATGGTCTACAATATTTTGCTCTAGTGATAGAAATCTGATTGCCACAGATACTCTAGATGTACCTGTAATGAGGAGGAGACGGGAGTGAGCATCCCTGCAGAGAGGAGGGAGCTGAGCCCCAATGTGAGTGAAGGGCTGGGACCTGAGACTGGCAAAGCATTTAGGGCCAGATCACTTAGGGAAAGAGAAGAGTCTTTTATTTTACCTTTCCACAGTGACATGATCAGATGTCACTTTTAAATTACAGTATGAAGAAAAGACTGTACTAGGGAAAGGATGAGTGAGGCCAACTGAAAACTCCCCAAGCCAGAGATGAACTGGAGAGAGGGATGCAGGGAGATTTAAGATTGCTAGGGACTAACCACCCATGGTAGTACATACTTGTAATCCCAGCACTCAGGAGGCTGAGGCAGGAAGATAGTAAGTTTGAAGCCAGTCTGAGCTACATAACAAGACACTGTCTCCAAAAAAAACAAAAAAGGATTGGTAGGACTGATTGTTAGTGACCATATTGCCCCCCCAACAACCCAAGCCCCCGCAGATTCATACTTTAAATCCTGGTGCCCAATGCAACTGATTAGGAAGTAGGCCTTTGGGAGGTCACTACGTCATGAAGATAGAGGTTTCATAAATTGGATTAGTGCCCTTTTAAGAGGCCCAGATAGCTGCTTAGCCCTTCTGTCATGTGAGAACACAGTGAGAAGGCACCACCTGTGAACCAAAAAGCTGGACCTTTCCAGACACTGAGTGTGCTGATGTCTTGATCTTGGACTTCTCAGTCTCTAGAACTGTTAAGAAACAAATTTCTGTTATTTACAAGCCACCGAGTCTACATTTGGTTATAGCATTCCACACAGATTCAGACAAAGATTTATTTTAGATAAATGGATATGGGGGAATGAGAGGAATTATCAAAATGGCGCCAAGGTTTTCCAGCTTCACTAGGTGGGCAGTCTTGTCACATACTGAGACAAGGATGTAGGAAAGAGAGCATGATGGGGTAGGTGAATGATGAGTGTGCTTTGCAGATGCTAAGAAGGACCCCAGGTGACCTACCCACTGCCATGCAGACACCAGTCATCTCCAAGCAATCAAATCCTACCTGACTCCCCTTTGAACCTGCCCCTTCTAATCCACAGCTTTCACCAGCCACTGGGAAGGAGGCAGGGGTTAGACGTGTTGAGAAAACTGGGTCACTAGATCCACCAGCTTGTGGCTGAGAGGCGTGTGTACCAGTTGCTGCTGCTCAGAACTAAGAAAGTAAGTGAATTCTTGGCTGGAGTGATTTTCTGGCCACTCAGAGCTGCACCAGACCTAAATGGCCAGAAAAGGAACCCCTCCTCCTCCCAGCTGTATCTGGGTGTGTCACTCTCCTGTGTTCATCCCACAGGATGAGTGACACACCCAGAGGCCCCCACCAAGCCTCTGCATCCTCTAGAACTGAAACCATCCTCCCACTCCCAAGGTCTAACTCCTGGCTCACCCAAAGCCACTTCCCCTACAAGAAGACTCTGCAAAGCCAGGGGTCCCCATCAGATTTGGCCTCAAGCTCTTTTTATCACCGATGTCTCTGGAGTAGGGAGAGCAGGCGCCTCAACCCCTGGAGGCTTCCTATCCAGGATCCCTCCTCCTAACTCCAACTGCACAGTTCACCTGAGCTAGGACACAAGGCTGAACACCCCCACCACCATGGCAGACAACGTCTCCAGGTTCTTGGATGAGGACTGGCCACTGGTGCCCCTGACAGGGAGTGAGGGGCCCAGGAGACACAGCCTAGGTACTAAGAGAGTCTGCAAGGGCCTCTGCAAGCACCTGGGAACATTTACCTATCAGTAACTTCTGGGCTTGATTTCCATTCCCCAGCCTAGAAGCAGGAACTGGCTTAATCCCACAGCCCTTTCCCCGTATCACAGTCACTTCCTCCTATATTACAGAAGACAAAGCGTCGCCTATCTTTGCTGAGCACTGAGTCGGGGGCCATCTCAGGACTCATACAGAGCAGATTCCAGGTGCGCAATGCCCATCCTTGCCTCTCAGCCCCGCCTGCCTCTGCCACTGTTGCTGCTGCCTCTGCTGCCGGCACTCGCAGGTGAGCACCGCCACCCTCGGGCACCACAGTACAGGATGCTGCCTGAGTTTGGCAGTAGCCCCATTTCCCCATCGGCAGTGGGGTGGATGAACCTCCATTCCTGGGCCTCTTTCCTTGCTACCTCTTCCTCTTGAAAACATTTCATTAAATGGTTTCTATTATAAGAAAAGTCTCCCAAACAAATCCCTCCAGAATTCCTACACTAGAGGGGTCCTTCCTCTCACACCCAGCTCCACACAGGATTTACCCCACCCAGGTGCTTCTCAGTGGCAGGGTTTCCCAACTGCTTCTCCCTGTCCTCTCACACCCTCCATGCCCTCTAACGCTCCATGACCCTCGGGGCTTGCTGGGAAGGAGGTGAAGACACAGATATTGACTCTTCTGTCCACTGAAGACCATAGCACCATCACCAGTTGCCCTGGTTCAAATGGATATAAATAGAGAGAGGCGCAGGATCACGAACACTACGCACACAGTATGGACTACCAGAAAACACTCGTAAATGGTGCTGCTTATACCATAAAATCCCCCAGAATTCTAGCATCCTACAACCATGCTCCTGATGTGCGTGTTTCTACTGCCTGTACACACCCTTCTCCCTCCAGCTGACTCAGACAGCAGAAGAGGCAGTCCTCCTTCTCCCAGGGTGTTAACATCTTATTGAGAGTCTGTCCAGGAAAGTTCAAATATTTTTGAAACTGACTTACCAATGTTCAAATACAAGTGTCATCACTATTAGGCTATTGACTCTGGGCAAGTTACTAGACCTCTGTGCCTCACTTTTCCTGTCTGTGAAATAAGGATAAATAATAATGGCTTACTAATAGGGTGTAGTAAAAATTAAACATGTTATTAATATAGTTATGTGTTTAGAGTAATATTGGCACACAGAAGTGTGTAAGCTTTCGCTGCTATATGTTTTCAAGGTTTAGTAAACACAAATAGGAACACATTAAGATGGTCTTGCAGGGCTGGTGGAGTGGCTCAAGTGGTAAGAGTGCCTGCCTTGCATGCGTGAGGTTCTGAGTTCAAACCCCAATGCCACTAAAGAAAAAAAAGATGGTCTTGCTATTCTGGTCATAACTCGACTCAGTGTGTATCTGTCAATCTGTCAAGTCTGTGTCTTCATTTAAATTCACAACAATCACATGAAATAGGAATGATCCATTATGCTTGACAGAGAGACATGGAAGCAGAGGGAGTAATTGAGCTTGCCAGAATTATCAGGGCTGGACGGAGTATTACCTTGAGACCAAGTCAGCCTGATGACACACCCACTGGACTCCAGGTCAACTCTTCTAGTTTTCTGTTGCTATAACAGAATATGTGAGATTGGATGATTTATAAAGTAAAAGAATTTATTTTGGCCTTCAGTTCAATAGGCCGGGAGGTTGAGGATTAGTCCGCCATGTCTAGTGAGGGCCTCACGATGCTTCAACTCATGGTGGGAAACAGAGGGCAAGTGGAGCTCGTGAAAGAGGTAGAACATGAGGGGTGAACTTGCTTTACAACAACTCACTTTGCTGGAATTAATCCAGCCCTACATGAGAAAGAACTCACTCGTGTGATAAAGGCATTAACCCATTCATGAGAACTCCACCTTCACAACCCAAATGCCTCCCACTAGGCCCTGTCTCCCAACACTGCCAAATTAAGGAATGACGGCTCCAATCCATGAATTTTGGGAGCCACTCAAACAATTGCACTCCTCTTGTAAAAGTCCTTATATGAGCCAGGCACAGTTTTAATTATTTGTCAAAGGTTTTCAGAGTTCAAACTCCACAAGTCCTATTTTTCATAACTTATATATGCATAGATGAGAAACTGAGGCTCAGAGAGTTTACGTAATTTTCTCAAGGTCAAACATCAAGTAAGCAAAAGAGGAGGCATTAAAGCCAGTCACAGGGATTCCACAAGCCCTGTTTTTAACTCTTCACTGTGTTGCTTCCACATATATTAAATTTTAAGAAGAAATACAATTCAACTAAATATGTTTTATTGCCTTTTCACCTAATGTTACATTGGAGATCTTTTTCCACATTGATGCATGTGTCTACACCATCATCAGTACAACCCAATATGTACTTCAGCCTTATCAATTTAATCGCTGCTTGGTTTTCCATTATGCAGTTGCAGTATCATTTATCTAACTAACTCCAAGTGAGTGGACAAGTGCCTCTCATCAAGCTTTCCTATGTTGCAAATACTATGACTATGTGCTCACTCTTGCCTGATCATTCCTTTTGAATAAGACCCTAGAAGAAATAACTAAGCCAAAGGGTATGAGTGCATTTTGAAGGCTTTTGAAACATAGAGTCTCCCAATAAAATAAGAGTGTCCCGAGGTCGGTAACACATCATGTCACACACTGCAAGGAGCAGCAGCAAAGGACAAGAGGTCATTCTAAATGTTTGTGACCAAAATAGCTTTGGTGAGTCTTTCACCTTTACTTTCCCCTCTGTTTCACATATGGCTTTGTCACATACACTAGATTTTGGGGTCATGGCTGTAAAATGCCATCTGGAAAGGCTGTGTCACTTTGTGTCCCTCCCCAGCATGACAGAACCTGGATCACCACCCCCTTAGCAACACTGAAAATTGGCAATCATTCTCACTCTTACCACACTAGCACTCTAAAAATAGTGTCAACAGAGAATATTCTATCTTGTTTTTATTACATTACAGGCTTGCCAAATAACCCAAACAAGGAAGAAATGTACAAGTAATCAATACAAGTCCCTCTACCCCTCCCATCCCTTGGAGGCAGCCATTTTTTAAGAATTAGCTTGGTTTTCTGCCCAGTACCTTTTTAACATGGACATAAAATGCCACTTTGACCCTGTAGGGAGTCTGCATATTTTCTGGGGTCCAATTCTAGGCTTCCTCTGTTAACATTGACCTCTCTGTCAGCCATGGTACCAGCCTCCTCTATTATTGCAGCCTGAAAACAGGCTTTCACCTGCACCCATTTTTTTGTAACTTTTCTTTCTAATTGTCTACCTCTGAGTAAAAGATGCATTTCACTGCTTTCCTGGGGTTGCTGAACAGTCTTTCATAGATTTTCTTCTACTCTTGTGACCTTCTTATCTGTATCCTTTGTAAGGACTGTCTGGTTTCTAGGTCACTCTTGATACCCAGTCCAGCTATTTGCCCACCCTAGAAGCTAAGGCATGATGTGCAGAGAAAGAATGAAAGGGACTTCAACTGCAACCTGGACCCAGGCAACTAGACCCCACTCTCAGCCCCAGCTGGGTAGGGCAAGAGACTTGGAGCTGACTTGTGTTTCCCTCTAGGAATGGCAAGTAAGGAAGAGCTGCAGGTGACTCAGCCTGTGAAGTCAGTGTCTGTAGCAGCTGGAAATTCAGCCACTCTTCAATGCATTGTGACCTCCCTGCACCCTGTGGAGTCCATTGAGTGGTTCAAGGGTACTGGACCACACCGGCAGTTGACATACAGGTTCACAGGAGGCCACTTCCCACGGATAACAAGTATTTCAGACACCACAAGGATAAACAACACAGACTTTTCCATTCGCATCAGTGACCTGACCTCAGCAGACGCTGGCACCTACTACTGTGTGAAGTTCCAGAAAATGGGTTCTGTCGATAAGGAGCTCCAGTCTGGACCAGGCACCCAGATATTTGTGCGCAGTAAGTCCAGATCCCTACAAACCCAACCCATTGTTCCAAGACAAATCACAAACCCCAGGAGCTCAGCCCAAAGTCCCCTTTTGACAGCCTTGTGTTAAGTTTGGAAGACAAGGAAAATTGGGAGAGGGGAGCAATCTTAGTGAGGGAGCTGAAATATAATCAATAGACCCCTGACCCTTTAGAATCTCACAGCTGCCAAAAGATCACAAAATAGACCAGAAAGCCCTGGGGGTAAAAGTAAAGACTCCAGATCCAGTTAGCTAGGGTTCAACTTCTAGCTCTGCCTCCTAGAGATTGTGTGACCCTAATGAGTTTTTTTAATTCTCTGTGCCTCCAATGTCTTCGTCTGTAAAACAGAGATAATAATTGTCCCCACTTCACAGGCTCATTGTAAGGATTATAAATGTCAAAGCGTTTATGAACAGAAAACACTTAGAAGACTGTCTACTACATAACATTATATCAGTACATATCATCAGTGTTCAGGGTTCTACAACGAATTAAACTTAAGAATACAATCTTATGTGAATAAATGGAAAAAAAAGAATGCAATCTTAAAGATATGCAGCCATAGTTTCTAAGATGATATGAATGATGGAATTGTTGGAACAGAAAATCACAAGAACTGCAATTTTGATGTAAAATATGTAGCCTCTGTATTTCTTAAGCTTGTCATATTCTTTTATTTATTTTTTTTTTGGTGGTGCTGGAATTTGAACTCAAGGCTTCATGCCTGCTAAGCAGGCATTCTACCTCCTCAGCCACACCTCCAACTTTAAGTTTCTCACATTCTTGACTTCAGTCCTGGTTAATACAACCATGACAGAAAAACAATAAAAATTTAGCAGATGGAAATAATGAGGCCATTAAAAACTCCTGTATAAAGAGACAGCGAATAGCAAAGGCAATACTCAGCAAAAAGAGCAATGCCAGAGGTATCACAATACCTGACTTCAAACTATATTATAAAGCAATAGCAATAAAAGGAGCATGGTACTGGCACAAAAACAGACATGAAGACCAGTGGAACAGAATAGAGAACCCCGATATGAATCCACACAACTATACCCACCTCATTTTTGACAAAGGTGCCAAAAATATACGATGGGAAAAAGACAGCCTCTTCAACAAATGCTGCTGGGAAAAGTGGTTGCCATCTGCAAGAAACTGAAACTAGATCCATGTCTATCACCCTGTACTAGTATCAACTCAAAATGGATCAATGACCTAAATATTAGACCCGAAACTCTGAGGTTACTACAGGAAGGAGCAGGAAACACTCTGGAACTAATAGGTATAGGAAAAGGCTTCCTCAGTAGAACCCCAGCAGCCCAGCAACTAAGAGAAAGGATGAATAAATGGGACTTCATAAAATTAAAAAGCTTCTGCACAACAAAAGAAATGGTCTCTAAACTGAAGAGACCACGCACAGAGTGGAAGAAAATATTTGCCAGCTACACATCAGACAAGGGACTGATAACCAGAATATACAGGGAACTTAAGAAACTAAACTCTCCTAAAATCAATGAACCAATTAAGAAATGGGCAACTGAACTACATAGAACTTTTTCAAAAGAAGAAATTCAAATGGCCAAAAAACACATGAAAAAATGCTCACCATCTCTGGCCATAAAGGAAATGCAAATCAAAACCACACTAAGATTCCACCTCACTCCTGTTAGAATAGCCATCATCAAAAATACCCCTAACAACAGGTGTTGGCGAGGATATGGGGGAAAAGGAACCTTAATCCACTGCTGGTGGGAATGCAAGCTGGTGCAACCACTCTGGAAAAATTTGGAGACTTCTTAAATATCTAAACATAGATCTGCCATATGATCCAGCAATCCCACTCCTGGGGATATACCCAAAGGAATGCAACACAGGTTACTCCAGAGGCACTTGCAGACCCATGTTTATTGCAGCACTATTCACAATAGCCAAGTTATGGAAACAGCCAAGATTCCCCACTACTGACGAATGGATTGAGAAAATGTGGTACTTGTACACAATGGAATTTTACTCAGCCATAAAGAAGAATGAAATCTTATCATTTGCAGGTAAATGGATGGAAATGGAGAACATCATTTTGAGTGAGATCAGCCAGGCCCAGGAGACAAAAAAATCATATGTTCTCCCTCATATGCGGACTTTATATCTAGGGCAAATGCAGCAATGTGGTTGGACTTGGATCACATGACAAGGGGAGAGTACATATGGGAGATATGGGAATAGGTAGAAAACCCAAAACATGAAAGCGTTTGATGTCCCCACTCCAAAGGAGCTAATACAGAAACCTTAAAACGACAGAGGTTATCATTAGCAGGGGATCAGGAACCAATGTAAAGATCAGTTAGAGATGAATCAACATGGGTCTTAGCACATGGGTACATGAAAGCAATAGTAGGAATCTCTCTGTATAGCTATCCTTAACTGAACTAACAAAAACGCTTTGTCTTCCTTATTATGCTTATGTCATTTCTTCAACAAAATTAGTGATAAGGGCAGAACAGGACCTGCCTGAAACTGAGCAGAGGAGGGGGCAGGGTGGGAGAGGGGAGCAGGGTAGAGAAATGACCCAATGTATGCACATGTGAATAAATGAAAAACTAAATTAAATACATAAATAATAAATAAATAACTCCTGTATAACAAACACAGTGATGATATATATAACATGGCCCAGTTGTAAACAATACTCATTTGGTCATAAAAATATAAGTGGAAAACACTAAGAAAACAAAAACTTATGCCGTGTCTGTGATAGAAGGATGTGAAGAAGAGAAGTATAGGTGGCAAGTGGAAGGAAATAAAAAATATCTTAAGTCATCATCTTTGTAGTAGGTGTATCCACAGATGTAAAACTGAAAAAAATTGAAAAATAACAGTATAAGGATGTTATTTAGAAACACGGAGAAATGCCCAAAGGATCTGCTGAAATAGTCAAAAGATGGTCTGTACATTTTGCAAGAAGAAGCAGCTAAGGGCCCTCTGTTTGATGGTAAGCCTTAGTTGATTTTTTTTTAACAATATACTTTAGTACGGAAGAAAGGGAGGAAGAAGAGAACAGAGGATGACATACATAGTCAAATCTGAATTTTAGCAAGACACAAGGACCTGGTTTCCAAGTATGGGTTGGAAGAGTTGGAAAGTGAAGTTGATGAGGCCACTTTTTTGGTTGTTATAACAGTAGTAATAAAACATATTAAGAGAAGAGACTGGAGAGAAGTAGGGAGGGAGTCCAGCAGGGAGGATATCATGCTAGAGAGTAACTCACCATCTTCATTTCTCTCTCCTCTCTCCTCCTTTGCCTGATCAAAGCCAAGCCCTCCCTTCCATTAGTCACTGGTCCCTCCAGCAGGGTCAGCCCAGGCCAACTACTGAATCTTACCTGCGTATCAACCGGCTTCTTCCCCAAAGTCATTGATGTGAAATGGTTTGAGAATGATGTAGAGCTCCCAGCCTTCTGCACCCTCATCTTCCTGCCTGAAGCCGCTTCTTCCTACACCATGGTCACCACCCTAGTGATCCTTGCCTCCTCCTCACTCCACTCCCAGGTCACCTGCCAAGTGGCCCACAGTGAACTGCAGAGCCCCCTCAGAGGGCACGTGAACATCTCCCAGTTCCTCCAAGGTAAGACCCAGATTCCCAACAAGAGCTCTTTGCCTACATCTTCCCACTTATTCCCACAAACCCCCAGGGAGGTGGGCATGAGGCTCCTGTCTCCCTCCTGCATAATGCTATGACCCATTCCTCTTTCAGAGTTCCTTGCCCTCTAGTCTCTTGGGAGATGGAAGTTCATGTATTCATTCAACATGTTTATTTATTTATCTATTCAACATAGGGTGCCATTATTCTAGCATACTAGGAATTACACGGTCAACAGAATAGATCTAGTTCCACCTCACTGGGCCCACAGTCATGTGAAGCCTATCAACCGAGACACAAACAACTATATATAAAAGATGAAACCAGGAGAAATGTAGCTAACTTGAGAAATGTCTTTTGAAGAAGTGATGTGTGAACCAAGGCGTGGAAAACATAAAAGGGTCAGTCAAGCTCAGTAGAGTGTGTCAGGCAGAGGCAAGAGCATGGGCACAGCCCCTGTGGCGGAGTGGTGGGCACAGGCCCTGTGGCAGAGTGGTGGGAGCAAGACAGATTTAAGGAGCTTCTGCTAGCTGCCTGGGACTAAGTGAGATGAGTGCATAGAAAAAGAAAAGGCCAGAAAAAGAAGAGTGGATACCAGATCACACAGAGTTTCTAGGCTATCGCAGCAAGGACATTTCTCCCACTTGGACTCTGCACCTGGACCTCTGATGACCCAAACCTCCATGCTACCATTGCTTTGCCCCAGGCACTGCCTTGAAAGATGCTTTTTAAACCCAGGCCGGCACAAGGGCAGGAGTAATGCAGACTGCACCCTCCTTCTCTGGCTCTGATTTTATGAGGGCAAAGCCCATTGTTCATTTTCCAAGAGCAAAGCCCAGATTGTTGTGTTGAATCAAACTTTGCAGAGCTAAGGAAGGAAATGCCCCTCACTGCTGCTGAAGCCCATGTCCTGGACTTCATGGGGGCTTTTCCCAGGCCTCAGCTCTCTCCTTAACCCTCTCCCCACCTCAGCATGGGCGAGTCCCACTTCCCTCCTGCAGGCAAGGAAAATGGCTTCCAGGTGTCCAGAGTCCCAATTTTTCTTCTGTCCAGCTGCATCCTGAAAAAACCAAAGAATGCCCATTAATAGCCTTGATGCTCATTCTCAGGTAGCCCAATTTAAGAAGGTTCTAGAAAGTGGTTGTGTTGACATGATCACTACCCTTCACATGTCTTTCACTGTCCCCAGAGGTCAGAGCCAGAAGTCAGCCCATCTTTGGGTTGACCCAAATTCTGTCTCGTCTCACCCACACTCCCTTCAGCACTTTGGTCTTCTTTCTAAAGACCTAGAACATGCTAAGCTTCCGTCGGGGCCTCTCCCCAAGACCTCTGTCTGAGATGCCCTCCTCACCCCACTCTCTCCCAATACCCCCTTCCTCCTGGCCTCCTTTACCCCATTTTCCTAATGTTCCAGGTACTAGGGCTACATAACAAATTATTCCAGTACTCCAAATTGACTTCAGATCTCCAAAGTTATGATGCCCAAAGTGCTGATGGGGCTCAGCACAGATGGCTGATCTTTGCTCTGGGCCTCAGCTGGATGACTCAGTGGCTGGAATCATTCAACAGATTCTTCACTGACATCCTGGTCCCTGGGTCTGGATGTCCCCTTGGGACCTCAGTTCTTCATGGCATGGGCTGCTTCTTATCATCTTTCCCATGGGCTAGCTTAGGTTTCTTCACAGCTAGTGATGGTGTCCCAAGAAAGACAGAGCCAGGTGAAAACCATGTCAACTTCTATGACTCACTTTGGGAGTCACACATACCATCTCACCAGGCAGGCACAAAGTCGCACTCAGACTTCCTCTCTGATGAGGAGTGGCAAAGCCCTAGAAGCACATATTGGAATTATTGTCACCATTTTCTGGAAAACACAATCTGCCACAGACAGTTAACTCATATTATACTATCTTTCATGTTTTTGCACAAATGTCACTTCCTCCAGAAACCTTCCCTATCCTGCCCACCTCCAGACCAAGTCAGGTACCCCTGTTGCAGGCTCTCAGAACCCCTGTGCAGGTCATGTGACTGCTTATCTCCTCCCTTCCCTCCCCACCCAAGTGTGAGCTCCATGAGGCAGGGCCCATGACTCTCTTGTTCACTGCTATATTCCAAGAGCGCAACACAGTACCTTCGAGGGTCTGGCTGCTCCCAGAGCATCCACATGTTCTTCATGAAGAAAGAAAGTGACAAAAGAGGGTTATTGTTTCAGTTGTGCCTACAGTGAGCATATCTGCACACCATGTCCTGGGACTCCAAGCGGCCATCCTCACCTGCCATGTGCGAAGGTTTTACCCCGAAGACATGCGAATAACCTGGCTGGAGAGGAATGGATGCTTCAAGAGTTGTGAGGCCCTTGTTCCCACCAAGAACCCAGATGGCACATTCAGTCAAGACAGTCACATCCTGGTCAACACTTCGCAGCTGGAGGACGAAAGGGTGTTCACCTGCCAAGTGTTTCAGGACTCCCAGACACTGGTCCAGAAAAGCCTGCAACTGAGCAAGTTTAGAGACCAAGAAGTAAGCTTGGGTGAGTAGGAGTGGAATAACCAAGCAGTTCAAAGCTCAGACCTTCTGTAATTCCAGCTATGTGGGAGGTAGACATGGAAGGATCACAGTTCAAGGCAAGCCCAGGTAAAAAAGTTAGTGAAGACTTATTTCAAAAACAAGCCAGGCTTGGTAGTACATGCCTGTAATCCTAGCTACATGGGAGGGGGGAGATAGGTGGGCTGTGGACTGAGGCTGGTCCTGAACAAAACAAGATCCTACCTGAAAAACAAACTAAAGCAGAAAAAAAAAAAAGAAGAAAAAGGCTTGGGGCATGGCTTAAGTGGTAGAGTGCTTGCCTATCAAATGCAAGGTCCTAAGTTCAACCTCCAGTACTGCCAAAAAAAAAGAGAGAGAGAGAAAGAAAAAGAAAAAAGCTCAGACCTAAGACTGGGGCATAGCTTAGGCCTGCATTCAATCTTCTACACCATGAGGGAGGGGAATGAGGGACTGAGTTCAGATGTTTAGCTTTCTAAAACTCACTTCTTCATCTGTAAAGTGAGAGAACTCCAGCACCTCTTCAGAGGTGACCCCTTGGGTACCCTGAGCATCAAATTTGTACTCCCTTCATCACATGGCCAATGCCACCCACCCGTCCTGCCAGATGCTCCTGCGAGCAACTAAGTTCTCACACAGAAGCCATTTGGCTTCAGCAGTTCCTGTGCATCTGCCGGGTACTTGGCTGGGATGCTCTCATTTGAGGCAAAAACATCCTACAACGTGTGTTATGGTCCCTATGCTAAAGATAAGGAAACTGAGGCTCAGAGAGTTATGTGACTCAGAGACCAAGACGTTATCTTGGCAACTGAGTCAGGAGTGGGACTGAGCCCACTTGAAGGTCAAGTAACAGAAACAGGAACCAAAGGGGCTGAGGGCGTAGCTCAGATGGTAGAGCGCTTGCTTAGCAAGTGCAAAGCCCTGAGTTCAAACCCCAGTACTGCCAAAAAAAAAAAAAAAAACAGACTCTAGAAGCAGAAACCAGGCTCATCCTGACCGTTCTGATGTCTTTCTGTCACCAGGTGCCATACCCACCTCTTCTCTCCTCCTCCTTGGCTGGAAGCTGTTTCCTCTGATCATACTTTCTGCCATCTATGTCCTGAGGAGGAGCCTCCCCTCCAAGTAAGGAGTCATCCCAGCTAGGACTTGGGCTCCCACGGTTGGGGACTCAAGCTACAGGAGTACTATAAGAAGAAAGCTTGGGACCTTCCCATTTCTCCCCTACCTTGAAAGAATGGTGAACCCAGAGGGCCCCTAATAACTGCACCCAATCCATTCAGCCTTCCTGTGTCTCACAGATGCACCCTGGTGTGGGCAGGGGTGGGAGACATTTAAAGAGGAAGAGAAAGAGGGGGTTGTAGAGACTACACCCTCAAAGTAGGTTCTGAGAAGAGCAAGGCTTTGCCTCAGCTCCCCTGCTTCCTCTGTGAGTCACAAACACAGCAAAGACCTTTCTGTCTTATTCAGGAGGACTGGCCCAGGAGTGAATAATGCCATGATCCCTAAAGTTGCATCACCAGCTTCCGCCGCATCAGCCCTCTGACACCCGTCCCTCCCTGGCTAACCCCGTCACTGTCTCCTGAGGAGGTGAGAGCCTACACTGGGAAAGTCAGTAGGGAGAGGAGGACTCTCATGCTCTCCTCAGGAGTGAAAGCAATTCTCACCTCCAAGTCCATGAACCTGATGGAGAAACCCAGCAGAGATGGGACAGGTTCCAATCCAAAGGGAAACAAACAGACACCTGCAGTTCACACAGCCCTTTCTTTCTTTTTGTTTTATTCATTTATTCACATATGTATACATTGTTTGGGCCATTTATCCCCCCTACCCCCATCCCCTCTCTATCCCCCTACCCCCCTCACTTCCAGGCAGAACCAGTTCTGTCCTTATCTCTAATTTTGTTGAAGAGAAAATATAAGCAATAATAAGAAAGACAAAGCATTTTTGCTAGTTGAGATAAGGATAGCTATACAGAGAAATTCCTAGCATTGCTTCCATGTACAAATGTGTTACATCCCAAGTTGATTCATCTCTAACTGAACTTTTAACTAGTTTCTGACTCCCTTCTCATATTGACCTCTATTGTTTTAAGGTTTCTGTATTAGTTCTTCTGCAGTAGAACATCAAATATTTCATGTTTTGGGTTTTCTACCTATCCCCATACCTCCTGTGTGTGCTCTCCCCTTATCATGTAACCCAAGTCCAACCACATTGCTGTATTTGCCCTAGATCAAAAGTCTGCATATGAGGGAGAACATACAATTTTTGGTCTTCTGAGCCTGGCTAACCTCACTCAGAATGATGTTCTCCAGTTCCATCCATTTACTTGTGAATGATAGATTTCATTCTTCTTCATGGACACAGCCCTTTCTGAACCCTCAAGGAAAGCCCATTGTGGCCCCAAGCTCTGCCGTGAAACTTTTGCAGCCTTATCACTAGAATACAGTTGAAAAAAACACTACGGCCAATAAACATGCGAAGAGATGACCAACCTCATTAGCAATCAGGAAAAGCCAAGGGTGCCATTTTGTTCCTATTGGAATGGAAAAGATAAAAAAGGAATTGGATCTTTCTTACAGTAAGCAATTTAGAAAGTGTTGTTGAATGAGCTACCCTATAACCCAGCATTCCCACTCTTGGTTTACACCCAAAGACTCACACATGTAGACCTGGAGATAATGTACAAGTACATACACTGTAGCAGTCTCTAAAACTGACAAAACCTGAAAATGACCCAAATGTGCCTGCACAGGAGGATGGCAAAGCAATGACTGCAGTCACAGCACAGGATACTTGTTACACAGCAGTAAAAATGAGGGAAGTGCACTACATACAGTAATCCATCTAAATCTTAGGAATAAAATATTGGTGGAGGAAGTAGACTCCAAAAGATTTCAGACAGCATGATATTCTCTTTATAAAAACAGCTAAAATGTGTTTAGGAATACACAGAAATGCTAATTCTTAAACAGGTTTTAGGCTTGGGTTTTTTTTCTTTGTTGTTTGTTATGGTGGTACTGGGGTTTGAACTCAGAGCCTTTTGCTTGCTAGGAAAGTACTCTACCACTTGAGTCATACCTTCAACCCTTTTGCTTCGTTATTTTTCAAATAGGGTCTCATGTTCTTTGTTCAGGAAGATTTGGACTGTGACCTTGCTACCTATGCCTCCTTCAGTAGCTGTGATTACAGGAGACAGCCACCATGCCGAGCTTATTTGTTCAGAGGTGGTCTCACTAACTTTTTGCCTGTGCTGGACTCAAACTGTGATCCTCCCAATCTCTGCCTTCTGAGTAGCTGGGATTGCAAGCATGAACTACCATGCCCAGCATTAGGTTTTAGTAATACTAAAATTGTTTTTGGGAATACATTGAAATGTTTTTTAAACCTCATATTTTTACAAATGAGCAATGAACACAAGAATCCAGTAGGAATGCCTGGAATGTAGGGAGGCAAAAGGATGACAAAGCTGGGTACGTACAGATAGATGGAAAAATTGTCAGGACTCTAGCTTCCATGTTGGATGGTGGCTTCATGAATGTTTATATAACTATAAGCAAACAACAGACAGAATAACAAAACTGTATACAATTGATATAGGTATGCAACCAGGTACATGGATGGGTAATTGATGAGGAAGAAAGGAGAAAAAAAGGATAGATGGGAGGATGGAGGGATGGATGGATAGATGGATGGATGGATAGATGATTAGATGCTTGGCTGATGGACAGACAGATGTGTGGACAAAGGATGGATGGAGGGATGGATAGATAGATAGATAGATAGACAGATAGGTAAAGAAAGAAAGATAAAAAGAATCTTTATGGATCTTGAAGCAGGAATTAGGGCAGGTAAAATCTGTGTACTCACCAGGCACTGCTCTTGCCTGTAATCCTAGCTCCTCAGGAGGCAGAGATCAGGAGGATCACAGTTCGAAGCCAGCCTGGGCAAAAAGTTCATGAGACTTTATCTCAAAAGGAAAAATCATCACAAAAAGGCTGATAGAGAGAGGCTCAAGATGTAGACCCTGAGTTCAAACCCCAGCACTGCAAAAAAAAATCTGTGTACTTAAGCTACAAAGGAAAAAAATTAATGGAAGCTCATTACCCATCTACAAGCTCCCTTCTTATTGTGATATTCCACAGTTTCATATAAGGAGGGAAAACATAGTTACTGGTTGATACCATGAGCCTGGAACTTCATCACATTCCAGCCCTACAAGGTGGACACCATACCTCTTTTGCAGATGAGGGATGTGAAGAAATCTGCCCAGTGTTACTCCAATAACAAGTGGTAGAACCAGCATGTCCAACTTCAAACCCAGCGCTTCTCATTCTTTCCAAGGAGCCACACTGCCTAGGCTTCAGAGGAGGTGAACTTTCCAAGCCCCATTCTTCTGCCTTCTGATCTGTCAGGCCCGCTGTTCTACAGCAAAGCCCACTTGATACCTCTGGTGAGCAAGAGGAGGAAAAACACCTTTCAGGTTTGAAAGGTGATCCTGGAATAGATCTAGCTTAGTCATAAGCACCAAAATGATCTCAGTGAATCTCTAAGGAGAAATGTAGTCCAGGAAAGGTTTTGGAGAAAGGCTGTATGTAAAAAGGGTAAGCATGGCCAGAGAGGTAGGCTTCTTGCTCTACTTTTTCACTATGGCTTCACCCATCATTGTCCCAGAAGCAGCAGTCCCAGAAGCAGAGACCAAAGGTTCTGAGCCCAACCACCATTACCCCTCAAACATGATTCACCTCCTCATCACTCACTCCTGCTCACAGCATAGCAGGTTCAGCTTCCACATCCCCTTCCCCAGCCTCCAACTCTGGAAGTCTCCAGGATATCTTTATCTCTTTCTCCTTTATCTCCCCCTTGAAGCAGGGTCAAAACTAAGGTAAAGCAGGTAGACAGCATACCTCACCTTAGTGAGGTGAAATTCAAGCAAGACACTCATTCTCAGTTTGACCTTGCCTCCTTACATTTTGTGCCCTAGATGACCTATGTCT